TGGACATCACACCCCTTGAGCACGTGCTTTTCCAAATGTTCTTCAGAACAGGGACCTTCTCTCACATCCCCACAGTCCTGTCATCCAGGACTGCAGCTTAATCTTTTTTTTTTCATTGTGAGGAAGTCTTTTTACCCCTTGAGCACGTGCTTTTCCAAATGTCTTCAGAACAGGGACCTTCTCTCACATCCCCACAGTCCTGTCATCCAGGACTGCAGCTTAATCTTTTTTTTTCATTGGGAGGAAGTCTTTTTAAGAAAAAAATCTTAGTTAACAAAGGTGGTGCAGTGCTAAAGGATCCTCCTGCCAAAGCAGGAGATGCAAGTTCAATCCCTGAGTCAGTAAGATCCCCTGGAATAGAAAATGGCAACCCACTCCAGTATTCCTGCCTGGAATATCCCATGACCAGAGGAGCCTGGTGGGCTACAGTCTATAGGGTCACAAAGAATCAGAGATGACTGAACACAGCACACATACTATATATAACAAAAGATTTTAACAAGTTTCACTTAGCAATATACATCCAAAAAGGAATCACAATACAAAGAAAGTTGTGAGTCAAGGCCTCACCAGTTCCTACAGTATTACTAATGTGTCTCAATTTTCAAAACTAACTTTTAAAAAGCTTAAGATTAACCTAAAAAATTTTAAATGAAAATAAACTAGAATAAGCAAATGTAAGAAATGTCCTTTTTGATTTAGGTGTATGATACAGTAGTTTAAGCCACAGACACCAATTTTAATCAATTTTCCCAGTAACACCCTCTTAAGTGTGTGTGTGTGTGTGTGTGCACGCTCAGTTGTGTCTGACTTCCTGAGACCCGATGGACTGTAGCCTGCCAGGATCATCTGTCCATGGGATTTTCCAGGCAAGAATACTGGAGGGGGTTGTCATTTCCTCCTCCAAGGGATCTTCCCAACCCAGGGATCAAATCCATGTCTCCTGCATTGACAACTGGATTCTTTTACTACTGAGATGCCTAGGAAGCCCAATACCCTCTATAGCATGTTTCTTTCTCTAAGTCCAGTATCATGAGTTTTGGAAGGTTTGGGTCTTTTTAATATCTTTTAATCTGGAACGATTCCTGTTTTTCCTTGTCTTTCATGACATCAATGTTTTTGCAAAATCCAGGCCAGTTTTTTTGTTGAATGTCCCTTAGATGGAGCATATGTGGTTTCCTTATGACAAGTTCTAGGTCCCCTGCCTCCTGTTGGGATGCACTATAACTGATGTATTCATCTCAGGCCTGGAGGAACATGGCATCTCTCTGGCCTCAGTGAGGTATTCATCTCACTCACCTGGTCCTGGCATTGTTTGGTTTTTCCACTGTTTGATTACTATCATTCCTCTTGCAATTAATCAGCCATCTATAAGGAGACATGACTGTTTCTTCTTAAACCAATTAGAATTGGGTTTTCTGTTACTTACAACATAAAAGCCCCTCACTGATCCAAGGGCCTATTTATAATGTGGGATTAATTGCTCATTACCGTGGGGGAAACAAGCAAGTGATTATGATGAGAAAAATCGGGGGAGTTTCTTAAAAGCTCTAATTGTGGTCACATGGGAGCAGAGCTGGACCACAGTGCATGGGTATCCTGAGAGGACTTATCATCCAGTGATGCTTCTTAATCTTTGAATTTATTTTGCAAGTGACGGACCCCCCCAAAAAAAAGATTCTCTGGTAGTAAAAATTAGATCCTCAGTTCAAAATAGATTGATCATTTGTTGCACTGAGTAATGTAACATTTTAACTCATTTTCAAGTAAGTCAAATTTTTGCAACAGTTTGCAAGATAGGTCTTTTGTTTCCATTTTTACCTGGAAAGTGTAAGTTATGCTCACAAAGAGTAGTGGTTATATATAGGGTCGTAGAAATTTTATTCAAAATATGTTTGTGGATTTTATATTGGCAAAGGTGTTTCCATTAATTGTGAATTCAGTACCAAGTGAGCAGCTTTCCTAGGAGAAATAGGGAACCAGACTCTGAGACAAGGATTTTTATAGAAGTTGTTGTCTGGGGGGTGATTGAAAGAAAGTGGGGCTGGACACAGGAAAGGGGGAGCAGCCATTAAGTGTGTGTGTGTGTGTGTGTGTGTGTGTGAGACTGTGATTGTCTTGCTTTAGCTGCCCCCAAAAGCAGACCCTAAGATAAGGATTTGGGTACAGATAGTTTGCAAGGGAGGGCTTTTTAAGGACCAAACTTTAATATCTCAGAGACATCCCAGTGCATTACTGTGGGTGTCACAGATGCTTTTGTCCATGCCATCAGAGCAAGAATCGAAAACTCTGCAAGGTACAGCAATGACCTCTCTGGATACATAAAAGCAGCATATTGCAGCCGGTCACAGAGTACAAATAAGGAGCCATTGAACAGAGCAGAAACAGGCAGTGGCCACACATCCTAGCAGAAGGGCAGGAAGGTCCAGAAAGAGTCAGAGAGGCGCAGGCATGAGTTTGGGATGATTCTTATTACAACTGGTCAGAGGAAACCGAGGTCCAGATCTCCCATGGCTGCAGTGGAAATTCATAGCAAAGAGAACCGTCGGTCCCTTGTCACTGGAGGTCAAGCAAGGAGGGAGGGCTGAGGCTTAGGCAGCGACCCAGACCCCGGCCGACATCTCTGCACCAGCTCTGAGCCCGTCGTGAGGAGGGGGAGGGAAATGGCTGTGTGATCAAGCCAGCTCCCTGGGGGTGACTGGAACCTCATCTCACGGGGACCTTGGGAGACAGACAGCACAGGACAGCACCTGAGAGCTTTCCCACCTGGGTGGTCAGGGAGCCGGGAGTCACATGCCTTCAGCATCTCACCTGCCCACGGCTACCAGCCTTGGACTCATCAACTTGCTGGCCCAGGTTTGCTGTGTGGCTGAAAGTGACAATGTGCAAATATCAGGTGTGAAAACACCATGAGGAGGGGACTGCCAATCAGGAATATTCTCAGTGTCCGGTATTGTGGGAGCTCCATTCCGAAACGGACAGGGCCAGTCTGCACACGCATCACTACTGAAAACAGATGGGAAAAGGGCCCTGAGTACTCAACCAGAGACTGTGGACATTAGATTCCTAAAAGCAAGTTTCTCCCCATGCAGCTCAGCAACAGGAAGCGGGAGGCTGGAAAGGACCAATGCCTCTGGGAATGGAGGGGAGCAGACAGACAGTGGGGACCACAGACAGCAGCGAGATGTTGAAACCATTAAGGATGCTGCGGTCCAAGGTCTGAGTGCACATGGAGGACGGGGGGAGGGGGAAGATGACAGAGGTTTGGACGAAAGACCCTGCAGGACTGGGAGTGATTGATGGGCAGAGCGAAGCGGGGATTTAAGCCTGGTGCTGTCATTAAGAGAGGGGAGCCTGGACTTCAGGGGAAAGGAATGTTGAGTGGAAAGTCAGCGTTTCAGAGACAGAAAGCAAAAAGGAGTGCTTCTTTTTGTACTTTTTTGTAGACAGATCTTTCTGAGTTCAGCAAAGGCAGTGGGGAGGTAGGGGAAGAGGACCCCACAAACACTATGTGGTTTGATTTTGCTTTGTTTTTGTTCCCCCTAAATTGGAAGCAGAGAAAACAAAGAGCTGCAATCCAGAAATCACACACGAGCCTGCCAGCTGAATGATCTGACTTCTGTCCACTCCTGTTGTGCACCTTAGTGGAATCATAGAGGGATTGAAAATAATCAAAAACAGGGAGCAGGAAGGAAAAGGAAGCACTCGAGCTCTGAGAACAGAGTCTGTGGTGAAGCCTTGGTTAAAATAGTAGCTTCGGGCTGCCAGGGAGCCTCGTGCATATAGATGGAGGAGCCCCTGATGCCCTAGCAGGCAGGTGAGATGAGGATACGTGGGTAAAATCCTTTGTCAATCAAAATACCACAGACAGGTTAGGGTCCTATTTTGATAGTAGTGGGGCGATAGCTTTGTCATAGCCAGACCCCCAGCCCCAGTTTGGGTTAGGCCAAAGGGCACTGTGGAGGCTTCCCTGGTGGCTCAGTGGTAAGAATCCACCTGCCAATGCAGGAGACATGGGTTTGATCCTTGGGCCGGGAAGATTCCCTGGAGAAGGAAATGACAACCCACTCCAGTATTCTTGCCTGGGAAACCCCATGGACAGAGGAGCCTGGCGGGCTGTAGTCCGTGGGGTGGCAAAGAGTTGAGCACTACTTACCACAACAGCCAACGGTACTGTGAGAAGGATGGTTTGGCCCTGCGTTGACGCAGACATCAACTATCTCCCTGGCTTTGATGGAAACACTCTCAGCCTCTGGACAAAAGCAAGAGTGTGAGGTCCTCAGGAGGATAATAGAATTCACCTCTAATCCTCACCTTTGCTAGGGACCTGACACAGCCATCCGAAGAGTGGGAGGGCTTGTCTTACCAAGATAACCAGCTTGGGTGGATTCTCAGGCATGTCATCCAGTGTTCTGTTATCTGCAGTAACTCGAGGTCAATAGAAGCTGATTGTCGAGGGTCATAAATATCCCCAGCCCCAAAGCAAGAGTGTGTATGGGACCTTGATCTCAGACCCAGGGATGAGTGTTTGTCAGTGCTGACTGGACCTCCACGTGAAGGATGCTGGGAGGGCAGAGGCAGCTGGTGTAGGATGAAGGCAGGATTGGGGGGCAGGGGCAGAGTTCAGGAGGGTGGACCCATAGTGAGGAGGCAGCCGAGTTTCAGGATAGAGGGGGAAGGAGAGAAAGCAGAGAAGGAGTGCCACAGCTGGGCTGCTGTGAGGGAGAGAGCCTGGCCTCATAAACTGGAATTAAAAGCTCAAGAGCGATTAGGAGGCCTCAGGACTATTGACTCCAAGCCTGTCCATTTTCTCCAAATGCCACAAGGGTATAACCCGGTCACTTGGGATGAGCCTTACTCTCCTGCCAAAAAAAAAAAAAAGCTTGAGTGAGGGTGGTAGAACCCCAGAGCAGTAGTGGAACTGGTGTCCATGTCCATCCTTTCAGGGGTCCTAGGATGACCCAGCTGCCCTCCAGTAGTGACGTTAGTACCCCTCTAACCTCATCCCTCCTGTGGAAGGAGAAGTCTACAGGGTCAAAGGCCATGCCTATCCAGAGACCCCATTCCCCGCCACCTGTGGCTCCAGATTCTCCGCCCTCGGGATCCCTGTCCGCATGCCCCATACCCTTGTGCACAGGCTCCCCCACATCCTTCTGCCTGAGGGCTGGCTCTGCTTCCGGATATGTAGTTAGTGCTTCAGTTGCACCAACTACATTAGTACATCTCCACAGGCTGCAGGGTTTGGGAGGAAATGAGAGAGGGACAGGGCTCAGATAGGAAAGCTAGGGTGTCCACTGAGCCGTCCCAGGGAAAAGCAGGGTGACAAGCCGGGGAGGTAGGTTCAGGATGGCCCCGTGTCCCTGCAGTCAACACAGAACCCTGAAGAGTCAGAAAAATTTTAAATCACAGCCAGGCTTTCCAAGTCCTTACACGGTCCATCTGCCATGGTAGGAGGATAGAACATGTTGTACAATTCATCTTGTCGTTTCGGTGTATAACTTTAAAAAATTCAGACACAAAGTATGAGTCTCCATTTGTCCTCTCATCCCAGGTTCTGAAATGACTGATGTCCACCCAGCACCCCCTTGGAGGAATGAGAGCCCAGACAAGGGCAGTGGCATGCTGTCTGCTCTGTCCACTCAGGCCCTCCGTCCATGGGTCCACTGACTGCAATGCCTTTGCTCTTCTTTTTCCAGAGGTCTGAGCCCAAGGCTGTCCTTATGACCCAAAGCTCTCTCCCTCTGACATGTGTTCTCATGCGCAAACACTCCAGATGAAAAAGAGTGATCCAGCTATGCCTCCCCCCGTCCCCCATTCTCCACGCTCACTGCGCCTGCCTGCTTGGCCTCCCTGTCCTCACATCAGTCACACACTGCCCAAGAGGAAAGGAAGGGGCAGACCCTTGAGAGGAAACCCCTAAGCTTCAAAGAGAGCCTGCAGAAACTCTGTGGTAGCTGTGGCCTGTGCCAAACCCAGTCATACTGAATATGAAGCTGGATTTGTGAAATGCCGCAATTGTATGTGCTTATCTCTCCCAGCAAAACTGCAGATGTACCTGGCCAGCTGAGAGAGAGACTGTTAAACATGCCTGAACTTCAGAGGCACAATTTCAAACAAAAACCATCTTTTCGATGATGGCAAGCAGACATCACTGAGAACGTTACTGAGCTTTGTGGGTTTCCATGACTCTTTGGTAGCCAATATAAAATATTAAATTATTTTGGAGAGCAACTGTTTATTGGTATATGTGTCTCCCTTGATGACACCGATTCTGACTGTGAGATAGAATTAAATACATTGTTCATAGGGCACTTACTCTGTGTAGAAGTGTTTCATTTACTTTGGTATTGGATAGTGTGCTTCCACTCAGCACCCCACATAGAATGTTCAAAAGCGGGAGGATATTTCCAGAGAAGGCTTAGCTATTCTCCAGCCCACTTCCTAAGAGCAAGGATGGGAATTTTAAGGGTCTGACCCCCATAACACAAGATCCGGGTACATACACAGACACACAGAGAAACCTGCTTGCTCAGTCAGTTTTATTTTATTGGGTGTTTGGCAGCTTTCTGTGGGTTTCTTCTGCTTTGTGGTCTCCAGCAAAGCTGTGCTGGCTTGGACACATACCTGGAGGCCTCTCGAGGATTGCGATTTGTACAGAAATGAAAGATCTGAGAAGTGTGAGTGGCTGAGGATGTGGAGACAACAGCAGGTCTGTATGTTATAGAGAAAGGAGAGGCTTTCAGATCATGTACTTTGCAGGAGAGATCCAGCCACAGAGAACACATGGACTCTGTAAACCAACACCTTGTGTTTCAGGGTGGTGTAAAGAGCATTTTGTCCAGCATGCATGGGTCAACAGTGCATGTTCCTGGCATTCGAACTTTCTGCATTGCTCCTGAGGCTGTGTTCTTCCTGAATTCTTATTCTTAGATGAAGCCATTCCCTAAAAACCCTTCCTTCCAGACTCCATGATGTCTCTGTAAAATCTCACATGCATTTATCAAGTGCATAAGCGCCAGTCTCCATGAAAGGTCCTGGAGAGACCACTGTGAATAAAGCATGTGGATCCCCAATGTCCAGTTGGATAAAGGAAGCTCTTTTTCTTCTTCTCTCCAACCTCTAAGGATGTGGAACCTTCTGAGTTGAAAATAGCAGACTGAGCATATGGCTTCTTTCAGTGTTCTTGATGCTACCACTTGGTGAAGATGATAACCAGAAATAGTTCACATCTTAGTAGAAACAAATAATGTGGTTTCATGGATAAAGCACTGGTTTTTGTCTGGGAACCTTATTTCTTACTTTTGCTGTCCTGTATGACTTCCATGTCTGAAGAATCAAGTGAAAGCAACCTCTTCAGATGGTGAATGGGTGATGGAAAATGGGTGAAGTTGGGGCAGTGGGAGCTGGAGTCAGTTTGCTCTGCTCACTAGAGTTGACTTAAATTTTCATGAATTCTGCAAGCTCACTGATATCACATTGGTAGCTTGAAATTGGCCACTAAAAGTGAAAGAGGGGAGTGAAAAAGTTGACATAAAACTCAACATTCAAAAAACTAAGATCATGGCATCTAGTCCCATCACTTCATGGAAAATAGATGGGGAAACAGTGGAAACAGTGACAGGCTTTATTTTGTTGGGCTCCCAAATCACTGCAGATGGTGACTGCAGCCATGAAATTAAAAGATGCTTGCTCCTTGGAAGAAAAGCATTGACTAACCTCAGTTCAGTTCAGTTCAGTCACTCAGTCATGTCTGACTCTTTGCAACCCCATGGACTGCAGCATGCCAGGCCTCCCTGTCCATCACCAACTCCCGGAGCTCACTCAAACTCATGTCCATTGAGTCGGTGATGCCATCCAACCATCTCATCCCCTTTTCCTCCTGCCTTCAATCTTTCTCAGCATCAGGGTCTTTTCCAGTGAGTCAGTTCTTCACATCAGGTAGTGAAAGTATTGGAGTTTCAGCTTTAGCATCAGTCCTTCCACTGAACACTCAGGACTGATTTCCTTTAGGATGGACTAGTTGGATCTCCTTGCAGTCCAAGGGACTCTCAAGAGTCTTCTCCAACACCACAGTTCAAAAGCATCAATTCTTCTGCGCTCAGCTTTCTTTATAGTACAACTCTCACATCCATACATGACTACTGGAAAAACCATAGCTTTGACTAGACGGACCTTTGTTGGCAAAGTAATGTCTCTGCCTTTTAATATGCTGTCTAGGTTAGTTGTAACATTTCTTCCAAGGAGCAAGTGTCTTAATTTCATGGCTGCAATTACCATCTGCAGTGATTTTGGAGCCCCCCCAAAATAAAGTCTGTCACTGTTTCCATTGTTTACCCATCTATTGGCTATGAAGTGATGGGACTGAATGCCATGATCTTAGTTTTCTGAATGTTGAATTTTAAGCCAACTTTTTCACTCTCCTCTTTCACTTTCATCAAGAGGCTATTTCTTCTTCCCATTCTGCCATAAGGGTGATGTTATCTGCATATCTGCGGTTATTGATATTTCTCCTGGCAATCTTGATTCCAGCTTGTGCTTCATCCAGTCCAGCATTTCTCATGATGTACTCTGCATATGTTAAATAAGCAGGGTGACAATATACAGCCTTGACATACTCCTTTCCCGATTTGGAACCAGTCTGTTATTTTATGTCCAGTTCTAACTGTTGCTTCCTGACCTGCATATAGATTTCTCAGGAGGCAGGTCAGGTGGTCTGGTATTCCCATCTCTTAAATAAATTTCCACAGTTTATTGTGATCCACACAGTCAAAGGCACTGTCATAGTTAATAAAGCAGAAGTAGATGTTTTTCTGTAACTCTCTTGCTTTTTTGATGATCCAACAGATGTTGGCAATTTGATCTCTGGTTCCTCTGCCTTTTCCAAATCCAGCTTGAACATCTGGAATTTCACAGTTCATGTACTGTTGAAGCCTGGCTTGGAGAATCAAATTCCATATGATTAACAGTGGAAGTGAGAAATAGATTCAAGGGATTAGATCTGATAGACAGAGTACCTGAAGAACTATGGATGGCGATTCGTGACATTGTACAGAAGGCAGGGATCAAGACCATCCCCAAGAAAAAGAAATGCAGAAAGGCAAAATGGTTGTCTAAGGAGGCCTTACAAATAGGTGTGAAAAAAAGAGAAACAAAAGGCAAAGGAGAAAAGGAAAGATATACCCAATTGAATGCAGAGTTCCAAAGAATAGCAAGGAGAGATAAGAAAGCCTTCTTCAGTGATCAATGCAAAGAAACAGAGGAAAACAATAGAATGGGAAAGACTAGAGATCTCTTCAAGAAAATTGGAGATACCAAGGGAACATTTCATGCAAAGATGGGCATAATAGAGGACAGAAATGGTAAGGACCTAACAGAAGCAGAAGATATTAAGAAGAGGTGGCAAGAATACACCGAAGAACTGTACAAAAAAGATCTTCATGACCCAGATAATCACGCTAGTGTAATCACTCACCTAGAGCCAGACATCCTGGAATGTGAAGTCAAGTGGGCCTTAGGAAGCATCACCATGAACAAGGCTAGTGGAGGTGATGGAATTCCAGTTGAGCTATTTCAAATCCTAAAAGATGATTCTGTGAAAGTGCTGCACTCAATATGCCAGCAAATTTGGAAATCTCAGCAGTGGCCACAGGGCTGGAAAAGGTCAGTTTTCATTCCAATCCCAAAGAAAGGCAATGCCAAAGAATGCTCAAACTACCACACAATTGCACTCACCTCACAAGCTAGCAAAGTAATGACCAACCTAGACAACATATTAAAAAGCAAAGATATTACTTTGCTGACAAAGGTCTGTGTAGTCAAAGGTATGGTTTTTCCAGTAGTCATGTATGGATGTGAGAGTTGGACTGTAAAGAAGGCCGAGTACTGAAGAATTAATGCTTTTGAACTGGGGTATTGGAGAAGACTCTTGAGAGTCCCTTGGACTGCAAGGAGATCCAAACAGCCCATCCTAAAGGAAATCAGTCCTGAATATTCATTGGAAGGACTGATGCTGAAGCTGAAACTCCAATACTTTGGCCACCTGATGGGAAGAACTGACTCCTTAGAAAAGACACTGATGCTGGGAAAGATTGAAGGCAGGAGGAGAAGGGGATGACAGAGGATGAGATGGTTGGATGGTATCACCGACTCGATGGACATGAGTTTGAGCAAGCTCCAGGAGTTAGTGATGGACAGGGAGGCCTGGCGTGCTGTGCTTCACAGGGTCTCAAAAGAGTCCGACTGAACTGAACTGAGCTGATAAGAGTATTTCACCTTTAAAGTAGGCAGATGCTAAAACTTGGAGGTTTTTATCCCCAGAAAATCAGTTGTTGAATATTTTCCGGCATATCACTGATTAAAGGGGAGGATAAATATTCTAATGATGAAGCAGAAAGTGTGGAAAGGTACAGACAGCAGAGCCCCTTGCACCTTTGGAATGGGGATAGAAGAGGTGGAAATGTGCCTTTATGATTGTCTTCCTCACCTGTCAGTTGAAGCATCTTCCTTCGGATGGTCCAAAGGCCTCTTTTCCTTGTATTCATCTAGGAAACCCCCACCAGAGGTGACATCCGCAAGTTCTGTCCTGGCTTGATGGGGCTTTTTATCAGTATGTATTTTATACCAAGGTCTTTGTTTGTTTGTTTTAATTCAAGTATAGTTGATTTACAATGTTGTGTTAGTTCAAGGTGTACAGCAAAGTGATTCAGCTATATTGTTCTTCAGATTCTTTTCCATTATAGGTCATTACAATATACTGAGTATAGTTCCCTGTGCTATACAGTAGGTCCTCCTTATTGGTTATTATTGGTTATCTGTTTTACATATAGTAGGGTATAACTGTTAATCCACAGATAATTTGTGAATTTATTCCTCCCCCACTTCCTCTTTGATAACCATAAGTTTGTTTTCTAAGTCTGTGAGTCTGTTTTGTAAATAAGTTCATTGTATCGTATTTTAGATTCCATGTATAAAGGATATCATATGATATTTGTCTTTCTCTGGCTTACTTCACTTAGTGTGATGACCTAATGATGTAAGATGATCAACATCCATGTTACTGCAAGTGGCGTTATTTCATTCTTTTTGTGGTTGAGTAGTATTCCACTGTCAGAGAAGGCAATGGCACCCCACTCCAGTACTCTTGCCTAGAAAATCCCCTGGACGGAGGAGCCTGGTAGGCTGCAGTCCATGGGGTTGCTAAGAGTCAGACATGACTGAGCGACTTCATTTTCACTTTCACTTTTCACTTTCACGCATTGGAGAAGGAAATGGAAACCTACTCCAGTGTTCTTGCCTAGAGAATCCCAGGGACGGGGGAGCCTGGTGGGCTGCCGTCTATGGGGTTGCATAGAGTCGGACACAACTGAAGTGACTTAGCAGCAGCAGTATTCCACTGTATTAATATCTATAGCACATCTTTTTTTTTTTTAATTTTTTTTCCATTTATTTTTATTAGTTGGAGGCTAATTACTTTACAACATTGCAGTGGTTTTTGTCATACATTGAAATGAATTCGCCATGGATTTACATGTATTCCCCATCCCGGTCTCCCCCTCCCACCTCCCTCTCCACCCGATCCCTCTGGGTCTTCCCAGTATAGCACATCTTATTGACGCCTCTGTTGATGAACATTTAGGTTTCTTCCAAGTCTTGGCTTTTGTAAATAGTACTGCAATGAACATTGGGGTACATGTATTTTTTTAAATTAGAGAGTTTTTGTCTTTTCCAAGCACATGCCCAGGAGTGGGATTGCTGGGTCATATGGTGACTGTATTTTTAGTTTTAAGGAGCCTCCACACTGTTGTCCATAGTGGCTGTACCAATTTACATTCCCACCAGCAGTGTAGGAGGATGACAACTCACTGTGACAGAGAAGCAAGACACTCACACTTTAGGCAAAATGTCCTGGTTTGAGTTACCAGGTGTAGGGGACACTGTTCAGTCCTTCCCGACTCCTTTGGGTACTGGGTGTTTCCATGCACACTGGCCTGATTTCCAACTGCCAGCTTTGCCTGAGGGCTCTCTTTGGCTCCGAGAGTCCACTCTACCCACACTAGGGGTATATGGGAGCAGCTGGTGACCCAAGGCCCCTTGGGGGCAGCTTCCCACCGTTACCTGGAGGGAGTTGAACAAACATCCCAGCTCCCTGGCCCCTCAGTTGGGACCCAAGGCCGGTCTCCACCGGCTTTCAGAGCTCCCAACCCTGGAGGGCTGCAGGCCCTTCGCCCCTGGCTGCTTGCCTGATGCTGCAGTTTGTGCTGGTTGCCCTTCCTTCCCTGTGTCACACCCTCTCCTTGACCAGGGCAACGTGAAGGCACCTCTGATAAACCACGTGGACGTGAATTCTTGACTGAGGGTCTCTGGAGATAGTTTACTCAATTTTTTAAAAAAGTGTGTTACTTCATCTGTTGTATCTTCAGTGTGGGCTCCATCCAGGTGCCGCCAGGTTATAAACCTTCAGTTAAAATGAACCACCAGTGTGGACCCTTTTGGGGCTTCCCAGGTGGCAAAGTGGTAAAGAATCCTCCTGCTAGTGCAGGACATGCTTCAAGAGACATGGTTTCCATCCCTGGGTCGGGAAGATCCTCTGGAGAAGGAAATGGCAACCCACTCCGGTATTCTGGGAAATCCCACGGACAGAGGAGCCTGGCGGGCCGCAGTCATGGAGTCACAAAGAGTCAGACACAGCTGGGCACTCGCGCGTGCACACACATACACACAGACCATTGTTGCCAGAGCGCTTAGGGAAGGGGAGCTGTAAACTCAGGTGCTCACATGTAGACAGTAGACCCGAGGGAGGCCTGGAGGGTGTGACTTCCCCCCATGGTGTCCTCTGGGTTCAGGGCCGATGCGGCTTATGGGGCTTCTTCACCTACGTGTGGTCATTGCACACGTGTGCCGGCTCTGACCACCAACTACGTGGCGCTTTTCAAGTGAGGAGCTTAAAAGACACATGCTTCTGAGAATGACCTTGGGGGCTACCCCTCTCTCTTCTTAGCCCTATTCCAGGCAGCAGCCCCGAGGCCCAAGTGGTGTCACTCAGAGGGGACAGGGAGAAGGAGGCAGCCGGTAACTCTTGGATGGCCCAACGGGTCAGATGGGGGCAGTGGGTGGGGGGTCAGGGGGCAGTTTCCCATCAGTGGGGAGGCGGAGCTTGTAACAGCCAAGCTGCCCGCCTGTGTCCAGGGCACATTCACTGCCCTTGTTGGAGGCATCCACGCCTGCTTTGTAGGCATCGGCAAAGCTTCTGCAGCATCTCTGTGAGACCCCCTGTTTTCCAAGGGGAAGGCCCTCCCCTGGAATTGGTTACAAGACAACCCTGTGAGTGGCTGCAAGGCAGTCTCACTGTGAACACCTTCCTAAAAAAGAAGAAAGATTATTTTTATTCTCCTCGGTTACTCTTGTGAAAGTCAAGACACAGAGCATTGTTTCTAATTCTCTTTAAAAACAGTCACCAAGAGCCTGGGAACACAGTTCTTCTCTCTGGTTTCTTACTTCCCGTAAATTAGTTTCTCTTTTCAACAAAAGATGTTTATGATCTTCAAAATGCTTTAAAGAGTTTAACAACTAAGAGAAAAAAAACCAGTGCTGGGCAGGGAGACAAGATGCTCAAAGAACAAATTTTAAATTTAAATAACTTGAATCGTCCAGCCAGGGGCTGGAATAGAGATTTTTCTATCCAACTTGTAAAATCCTTGGTCATACAAAGATAATTACGGAAATATTCAGAGACCTTCCCTGGACCCAGACGCAGACCCGCCCCACTGGCTGTTACCTCTTAGTAAAGACGAAAAACATTCAAAAGAGGGAGGACCTGCCATCGTCGGAGTCACTCAAGGAACCAGGAGGAAAGGTGACATGCCTGTCCCAGGACCGGACTCAACCTAACAGGTCCCCGGGGGTGAGTCACTTTCTTCTACTTCAGTTCGATTGGCTGTAAAATGATTATAATAATGAGAGCTTGTTTACCAAGAGCCGAAGTCCACTTTGCCTCGCTTCATTCAGCTGCTAGGAGGAAGGAGGACGGGAGTGATTAGAAAGATTTCAGGGCCGACTTGCACAGCCACAGGCGAGGAGAAACCCATGACTCCAAGAAGCTGCGTCTTTTAAACCAGACTTGGGAGTGGAGGTCGCCAGAGTCGGTGTTACTGCTGCCGTTCTGGGGGTTCGAACTTGTACCTGAGGTGAACGGAATAGAACGGTAGAGGCTGGCTAAATAAATCAGGGGCGGGGGGAGGAGGGGGTGGGCGGTTGGGGTCCATCTCGGATGCAGCCTCTCTTGCCGAGATCTGGCAAGCTGGAATTTTAAGCAACAGCTGGAAACTTACTAGTGACTTGGCTCCGTGGCTCGGTGAACTGGAGCCCGAGCGCCGGGTATTCCAGCCCCGCCGGCCAGTCCCGCAGCCCAAGGTCGGGTGGCGGTACCCCAGCGCCGTCCTCAGTGGTTCCCAGTGGAAGGGTCTGGAAGGCCAGCTGGGATCGGTCCTGCTCAGCACGGTCCATGCCACCTGGAGCCCGATCAGACGATGCAGTGAGTCCTGGACACTGAAATCCCAGGACAGACTTCACCTCGGCACTCGCTCTTGGGGCCACATGGAGGCCACCACCAGGCTTCCTCCAAAGTGGCCGAGCCTGGCATAAGGGAAGAGTTGGGAATACTCGCTTCCTGCCTTTGTCCTGTAGTTGGACCACAGCGCCGGCTCTGTTTACATTCTTTCAGTGCTGTTATTGAAAGTGCTTGGCCGTATCCTTCCAAAGGGTTCGCAGTGTCCTTCGGTCCCTTTCGGATTTTTTTCTCTCTCTCTCTCTCTTTCTTTTTTTTTTTGCTAGCATTCAGCTAGCATCTGGAAAGATCCACTGGACATGCTGGGCTCCTTTCTGGAGACTCTGCTCCACCATTCAGGGAAACCAGGAAAGGAGCAAACTTCCGCCGTGTAAGTCTGGAGGAATTTGACAGCCTCTCTAACTACCGTACCTTTTGTGTATGTTGGTTCAGTCTGTGTACTGGGGTGATTTTAGGATGAGATCGCTGGTATAACCCCAGGGTGGGGGAGGGATCAAATGAGAACCACAAGTGAAAAGAAAGTCTGCTTATCAATTGTATTAGATTTCTGTGCATGTTGAGTTGGGGTGTCAGAGGCTATGGTTTGGGAAGGAAACTGCTGCTCCAACAGGAAAGACCTGACACCCCAACTTCTTTGGGACCCTTGAGAGCTTTATTTGTAAGAATTTGAATAATGTGGATATACTGTTTGCTTGGATTTCATTCTCTGCAAAGGACCTGCTGTGGCCCTTGGCAGCCTGTCTTTGTCACCTGCTCTCATAGCCTTTTGAAGAAGCAGAGATGCAACCTGCATCCTCCGGAAGAAATGTGATGGATCTGCCAATTCCACACAGAATCCAGGCTGGTCATTTCTTTGAGGACCACTTGAGGTAGACGTGTTCACATTCAATTTTCAGGCAGCTAATTAAGCTAGTAAAACTTGAGGAATCCAGACTTCTCGGGGGTTATAGGCAATATTCCCTGCCTGTCCTGGCTCATCAGAAAGGGTTTGTATACGGAAAACTTCTGAACAGAACAAAGGGACTTAGGTCTGGATGAGGAATGAAGTCTTGGCTCCCAACGTGCCATTCCTTCACTGCTGTGCAATGTCAAATTCCTTGCCGAGAAAGCGTCTGGAAGGAAAAGAATTACAGGCATTAGGCTTGGATTCAAGTGTACTTTTTTATTTGTGTGCTTCTTGGTTGAAACAGTTAATCATTTGCCCCTCAAGGTTCCACTGTGGTTGTGGTTCTGCTCCGTGCTCTGAAGACAGCACTGTGTTTTCCTTTTGGGGGCACTACAGTCCCTGGACTTTGCTAATTAAGTGATGAACTTCAGAGGGCCTGGAACTGGGGCTCTGTGCAGCAGCTGAGCCTGTGAATGTGAATCTCAGAGTCAACAGAATCGCCATGGAAAGCGCACCAGTCTTCTCAGGAGGCTTTTGGAAGGTTGACCTTCATCCCAGAGGGATTCTGAGTGGAAAGAATCAGATGGAAGACAGCTCTGAACCTTTAAAGGGACGGAGCCACAGAGACATAACTAAAATAGGTGACAGCTCCAGAAGATGGGGTGGGTGCATGCTCTGTTCTCATTTTCTGAGATGGAAACCATGGGTCATCACAGCCCCCTGTGGATGTGAAGGAGTGGCAAGTCTTGGGGTAGAAACATGCCTGTCTCCAAAGGTCATCACTTCCTAACGCAAGCAGTTCTCTGCAACTTTTCTGCTTGTTGACATGTTTGTGGGCTGCTGCTGCCTCTGTCCCCCCAAGTTCATGATGAAATAGCCTCAGCAAACTAGCAGCAGCTCCTGTGTCTTTGGGGCCTTCCCACCCCACCCCTGCCGCAGAATCCCTCTAAGATCCCCCAAACACATTTTCATTTAATGTTTCCTTTATGGTCCTTCTGCCGGGCTGGTCGAGGTTAGGGTTAGCTACCTCTGAGAGCCAGAGGGCAGTTTAATCATCATTCCTGGTGCAGGAGGCCAGACTGGAGATGCTTCCTGAGCGTACGCTGGACGGGGCGGGGCCAGCTGCCTGTGTGCATGTGTGTTTTATTTATAAGTGGACATGGAAGGCGTTGCAGCATAGAGACAAGATTATTGGGTTTTGATGCTCCAGTGAGGGCAATTCCAAGCTCAAATAGCTGCAGTTTTGATTCAGAACCCGATGTGCCCTTAAACTCCCCTTTGCATTCCAATGTCCACCCCACCTCCCCTCAGGTTATCCTGGAGCTATTTACATGCTGTTTCTTAACACAAACTGATCTCTGTCAACAAGCACACAGGATTTCATCCGAAGCTTTGAATTCTTAGGAGAAAAGAGAGGGATTTCTTCCTGGTGCCCTTGTGTTGACCTTGCCTGGGGGGAGAGGGCTGGCAGAGCTGTTAATGACCTCATCCCATTCCTGCAGGATTTTCTGGGACACGCAGGGCCTCACTCTTCCGCTGGCCTCTGTAATCGGCCGCATTAAGTCTGTGAGCTTTGGAGCAGATTATAGTGACATCTAGCATTGTCCCTCTAGGACTTGAGCGTGAGGTCAAGCAAACACACAGAGCAATCATTATGCTATCCGCAGTCCCCGGGAGCCTCGGCCGTCAGCTGGAGGAGTGGGGGGGGGGGCGGCCAAGGTGGGGCTGAGTCTGAGCCATGGGCGGCAGGAAATCAGCCTGAAAGGAGATGGAAGGGCTTTGGTGGGAAATAAAACGGCACTCTTGTTGTTGATGGAAAAAGATCTTGGCAGGAGGGTTGTTGTGAGTGTTCTGTGGCTTAGAAAGGAATTTCCTACAGGCTGGACTAACCATCACACATGTCTCTACCTTCAGGAGTCCCCGGCGTGCAGGAGAGCCTCGTCGGGGGGCCATGTCAGCTCAGACCATGGGCACCCGCAGTCTGGACAAGCGAGGAAGTTTCTTTAAGGTAAAAGGGAGCCTCGATCGGGGTTGCTGATGGGCGTCTTGCCACCAGTGCAGGACTGCACCAGGAGCTGCAGGACTGCGGAGAGGGGAGGGGGAAACCTGCTCCCTGAACCAGCTCTGGCTGGGGAGCTCACCTGAGCCCAGCTGGGAGCTCCTTCTGGCTTTGGTGGGAGACGGGGGCTTTTGTGAGTCCGTGCTTCCAGACAGGCTCAGCACCCAGGCACAGGGAGATGCTACCTGTATTAGACAGGTGAGACAACCTTCCCTTGTCAACTGCTCACCTGCTCCTTTTTCACCTGGATGGTTTTTGATGGAAGCTGGGCTCAACATCTGAGTGTGCTTTACCCTTGGCTTGATTCTGCGAATCATTTAGGTGCTTGTTAAAAGAAGAGAAGGACACACAGATTCCTGGGCCTTACCCTAGACTGACTGAACGCTTTTGCTGGTATATTTTATCAAACACCCCCAGAGGCCCCTTAAGAGAGAACCCAGGCAGCATGATGAAAGCTGGACCGCTTTTCTACATGCCTGTTGATGTCAATGGGGGACCTTGCTAGGTTAATGAGATGAGCTTCTCGATGGGTTTTTATATACTCGAGTGTGTGTTTTAAATTAAGACAATTTAAAACAATTGTTTCTAATGTACATGAGGGAATTAATTTTCTTTTTTTGGTGTGTGCTTTGCTTCCTCTCACTCACCCTCCAAATAATGCAAACTCATTGTAGAAAATTTGGGAAATGCAGAAAATGTAAAATCAGAGGAAAACGGGAGTAAAACATGCATTTGCAATGTGTCACAGGCAGGTGTTCAAATACCAGGTCTTTTCCTCAAAGGGGGAATGAAATAGAGGCCTTCTTATTTTGGAGGAAAACTGACTATATTTACTGATTACCCCACCCTGGTGGGTTGTAGGTATAGAGTAACTCACATTTAGATGCTTCCTGTTTCCAAGAGAACCAAACCTGATTTCCTGTGTCAGTTCTGGGCTGCAAAATTTTCATCAGAAAAGCCTGTTGGTAAAGCAAAGCCAAGTTCATTCAAGAGACTGTCAAAAGAAGACATGGCCAGGGCCTGGGCCTGTTAATGTCTAGGCAAAGGGGGTTAGGAGGTGTCTTTACAGGGTTTAGAGGTCCACGTCCAGGCTCTTTAAGCTGTGCTTTTTCAGGCAGAGAATTGACTGAGTTTCAGCAAAGTTTGTGGTCACATAGTATGTAATACAGTTCAGGATGGGTGGATGCAGCATGTCAAGAGTCTTAAAGCGGGTCTTCGAGAATAAACCATTGATCAGCAAAGCTGTTTTCCCAGGTGAGCAAACTAGTGTGCCAGGACAGATTGTTTTGTAGGAATTTCCTGCCGTAAACAGCAGATTTATTTATTGGTTTACAATAACTTCCTGGAAGAACTAGTCAAGTCATGTTGACACAGATGGTCTCGATTCTCAGTCCTGAGAGTTGAGCTTTGTCCACGTAGCTGTCTTAGTTCACAACCATTTACTCGATTTGAATCAAACCTGTGTAAAATCCACCAGCAGAGGCACAAGAGGGACCCCCCAAGCATCCCGTGGACCAGGTGCTAACCCACCAGGCTTTTGACTCATCTCCAGTTCTTGGATTCTGACTTATGCTGAGATATCTATTTCATCTTGCTGGAAGGGGGGAACCCAAGTCCCCATCCCCCAAGGCAATGCCTACCTCAGCCTAAATGTCGGCTTGTCCGTAATCAGCACCCTAGCCTCAGGAAGCAGAGTGACTGAATTTCACGTAGTAGTTAAAGTCCAGGCAAAAGGAGAAAACAGAGTCCAAATTGCCTTTGAAAATTCCTAAGGAATTTATTGCACCCAATACTACCTACTGTTAAGTTCAACATAATCAGTTTTTCCTGCAGTCTTGGGAAAAATCTTTTTTGTTTTAATGTGTTTTCAGTTGAATTAACAGGTAAAATAGTTAACTTGTTATGTCCTATGAAAGAATCCATCAGACAAGAAGTGAGAGGCTGAGGGCAGGTCCACTTCTCTGCTGAGTCAAATGCCCTTGAGGAAAATGTTACAAGTGGCCTGAACTATATAACTTGGTATGTCTCCCCTTCCCCACCGCAGAGCTTAAAAATCGTAAAAAAAAAAAAAAAAATTTCACACTGAGGACAATAATTAAGTTTTAAACATTATGATGATAGTTAAAAAAAAAATCATTTCCTTTGTTAGATGCTACAACATGATACAGTTACCTTATATTTCTTTCTCTCCTCTTTTTTACAGACATTGTTATTCTTTACTGTAGCTATTTCATAATTAGTTATCATGGAATAATAATATTTGTTATTATAATATTGAAAGTGAAAGTGTTTGTCAGTCAGTGTGTCCAGCTCTTTGCAACACCATGGACTGTAGCCCGCCAGGCCCCTCTGTCCATTGGATTCTCTAGGCAAGACTACTGGAGTAGATTGCCATTCCCTTCTCCCGGGGATCTTCCTGATCCAGGGATTGAACCCAGGTCTCCTGCATTGCAGGCAGATTCTTTATTAGATAAATAATATTATTAGCTATTATTAATTATTCCATCATTTTTCCATGTGGTTACCTGCAAGGATGGACTCATCTGCCCTTTGGACCTTTAATATTGACCCCTTGAAGGTTTGTTGTGAAAATGCCAGGTAGTGTTCAGCTGCTGAGATGGGCTGTCCCTAGCTCTTCCTTTATTCCTCAAGCTTCATTTTGACTCACATTGACCAAGTACCTGTGATCAGCCAGGCTCTGTCCTAGGCACCAGGGAGAGAAAAACCAGAAGCCATCCCAGACTTCACGGAACTTTCAGTCTGGTACCAAACCAGGATATTAATCCAATATAATAGTAAACCCATAGTGATAATCATAGGAGAAAACAGTGCTTCGTGAGAGAAGTAAAAGGGACTCTGAGGACAGATAGCTCGACATGGGTCCCAGAACAGTCTTTCCTAGAAAGTGGCATCTGACCTAGAGCTGAGGTTGAATCTAGGGATCAGAGTAACTTTCTTGTGCCACTGTCCTTCCACCCTCCACACAGACTCGCGATGCCCTACGTCCGGGTAGGACCACTTCATAAATGTGAGAGTTCGTGGTTACATTCCTGACTCATAGCTGAATTCCACACAGTCATTATCCCTTTCTTTTTATTAGGGCTCGCATGACTTTGTGCAAAGCGTGGATCCTTGAAAGGCAATCACTAGACCTCTTTTTCAGCCTCATCTTCCCTACCCAGTTTGTGCTTTAAGCTAGAGTTGCTAAGCGCTAGCAGCGAGCCTCGATTTGTGGCTTTGCCTCTGTCCCAGCTCCTAGCAGTGACTCAGCCAAGTTGCAGGACATGAGGTCCTGGGTGAGGCAGATGGTCTGAACATTCTGGGGTAATTGAGAATACCCTGGGGTTATGGTGCTCGTGGACTCTCATCCTGGAATCCTGGCCACAGAAATCCTGTGCTGAACAAACACATGGTCCACAGCCCTTCCAGCATCATTGCTAATGTTCCTCAACCGCCTGTGAGAATAGTATCTTCCTGCCCTGAAAGGCCTTAATGTTGGGGAGGCAGCAAAGTTATTTGCACCTACATCAACGTGAACACCAATAGCTGTCACCTTGCAAGGCCATGTGGTGTGGAGGAGACTGTATAAGGAAGACATCAGGAGAGGAGGGAAGCGGGCGGAAGAGAGAGAGGGCCGGCGTGGGGCGAGCCGAAGGGGGCAGGGCGGGGCGAAAAAAAAGAAAAAAAAAAAAAGGAAGACATCATCTGGGCTCGGAGAGTTGTAGGCGGTCCTGGCCCAGGGCTGAGCAGCTCCTCATCATCTTGGATCCTTCTATTTGCTGGATCCCTAGCTTCCCCAAGCTACCCCTCCACTTCCTCATCCAGGCAGCCGGTGCTGGCAGATCCCCCTCAGGTCTTCAAGCTCTACCCCTCCTCCCGTTCCCTGCATCCTCCACCCTACCTAGGATCTGGTTCTTTCCTTGTGGGCACACACCACAGGTGATGCTCAGAATCCATCTGCACCACCTCTGAATGCAGGTGGTTAATTGGTTGGTTGGTTCTTTCCAATCATTCCATCCATCCATGTTGCCTGCTTGCAGACTGACCCCGGCTCTCTGCTACATCCAGGACCAGGTCTGCACTCTTCACCTTGACATTCAAAGACTTCCAGACCTGCTCCCAGCTCATCCTTCACCCATCCTGCCCCTGTGCCCTCCTGGGTCTGCTCCTGTAGCCCAAACCTGCTGTGTCTGTTCTCCTCCTACCCTATGCTTTCTCCCCATCAGGCTCCCAGCTGCCCTTCCAGGCTGGCGTCCACCCCCTTTCTCCATTGACAGCAGGGGGCTGAACTGGTGTCCGCCCAGTAGTAGAAATGTCATGTAGACCTAGCCGTAGGCCACAGCCTAGTGTCAGGACATCCCCCTCTATTCATAGCTTGAGCTCTGCCACGAGGGACTTGTTCTGGCTTGTGTTGCCATGTCTCTGACCCCGAGGGGGATCCTCTTAGAGCAGCAAAGATGCTGGAAGAGAACCAGTATGACTGCCCCTGGGCAGTGCTACTGGCTTCCAGGCCTGCCCACCCTTGGCCGCCCACATGTTGGTAGGGTTCCCTGATGCTGCATGTCTGATCCTTCTCCTTCCCTTACTCCTGGGACAGGGGAACAGCTGGTCTTAACTGATCAGGAAGAAAATGTGTTTGACCACAGGGCCCCTGCTGTCCTGTGTCTCCAAGCCCCCATTCGTCCTGCAGGGAGATGCCAAGAGCCTGGACTTACAAACCATCCGGATGTTCGAGGGGCCAGTTCAGCAGCAGAGGCTCTGTTTGAGAAATCCCGTTTTGGTCTTCTTGCACAGTTGGGATAGCAGGTGCATGACGCTTGTCTTTTGAAAACAGAAAGCCTGGGGTTGGAGTTCAGACAAGCCTTGGAAGTGCTCTCTGGCTCCATGAAGAACAGAGGTGTGACTGGCTTTGAAGAAACCTAATTGCTAAAATCCGACTCTGCAAAGTA